CATCATACGCGATTCAATGTTATTCGAGATAAAGAATTACCACTACGAAGTACCAAATGAGTTCGGCATTCCCAGCGGGGTACATAGAAAATGTTACTCGCTTGTAGTACATTGAAATAATAGAAAAGCGCTCAGCCAATCAGAAAACGACATTTATGTGGGAGGCAAGATAATGCATATTGTAACTGTGGTTTCACTTATCCCTAAGGCAGATAGTGCATATTGTAACTGGTATCTGATAGTGCATATTGTAACTCGCTTTGTACAAAATGGAAGTTATACCTTACTGTAGGAAGGCAAATTAGTGTGTCCGTTATAAGAAGCGTACCGCTTTTGATTAAGGGAAACTAGAAAGGCTTGAATCTGTTGGAAATCAATCGAATATGTGTCAAGGAGGTTCGAGACAAACATAGTACCTGGGGCGATGTTATATCGAAGTGATGAATTTAAAATAACGACAGTCACTTTACTTTAGCTTTATGTAGAGTTGTTTTCCTCGGATTCTTACTTTCGTTGTACGACGAATGGGCGGTATCAGCGTAAAACATTTTAGGGTGACCAGCTCGGGGCGTTTGGGCGTAACCATTCTGCGACATCTGGGTATGTTCACTGGGTGCCGACTGGGCGCTTCCATCAGGCGACCACTGGATGCGACCATTGGGCGACATCTGGGTTTGTCTATTGGGCCACACATGGGCATATCCATTGTGAGACTCTTGACCAGTTGACGGCCCATTGGCGAAACCACTGTGTGATGTCTGAGCCTGATTATTTGACCGCAACTGGTTGTGACCGTTGGGCGACATCTGGGCGTGGTCAATGGCCGACTTCTTGGCGGGATCATTGTACGACATATAGGCGTGGTCAGGGTGTGGCATATGGGCGTGACCACCGTACGACTTCTGGGTGTGAGCATTGGCCGACTTCTGGGCATGACCATTGTGCGACATATGGGCGTGGTCAGGGGGTGGCATATGGGCGTGACCACTGTGCGACTTCTGGGTCTGATCATTGGCCGACTTCTGGGCGTGACCATTGTGCGACATATGGGCGTGGTCAGGGTGTGGCATATGGGCGTGACCACCGTGCGACTTCTGGATGTGATCATTGGCCGACTTCTGGGTGTGACCATTGTGCGACATATGGGCGTGGTCAGGGTGTGGCATATGGGCGTGACCACTGTGCGACTTCTGGGTCTGATCATTGGCCGACTTCTGGGCGTGACCATTGTGCGACATATGGGCGTGGTCAGGGTGTGGCATATGGGCGTGACCACCGTGCGACTTCTGGATGTGATCATTGGCCGACTTCTGGGTGTGACCATTGTGCGACATATGGGCGTGGTCAGGGTGTGGCATATGGGCGTGACCACTGTGCGACTTCTGGGTGGATCATTGGCCGACTTCTGGGCGTGACCATTGTGCGACATATGGGCGTGGTCAGGGGGTGGCATATCGACCACTGTGCGACTTCTGGGTCTGATCATTGGCCGACTTCTGGGCGTGACCATTGTGCGACATATGGGCGTGGTCAGGGTGTGGCATATGGGCGTGACCACCGTGCGACTTCTGGATGTGATCATTGGCCGACTTCTGGGTGTGACCATTGTGCGACATATGGGCGTGGTCAGGGGGTGACATATGGGCGTGACCACTGTGCGACTTCTGGGTGTGATCATTGGCCGACTTCTGGGCGTGACCATTGTGCGACATATGGGCGTGATCAGGGTGTGGCATATGGGCGTGACCATTAGGCAACTTCTGGATGTGATCATTGGCCGACTTCTGGGTGTGACCATTGTGCGACATATGAGCGTGGTCATTGTGCGGCATGTGGGCGTGACCATTAGGCGACTTCTGGATGTGACCATTATGGGCCTTCTGGGCGTTGCCCTTGGGCGACTTCTGGAATATTGGGCGTGACCATCAGGCGACTTCTGGATGTGACCATCAGGCGACTTCTGGGTGTGACCATTGTGCGACATATGAGCGTGGTCATTGTGCGGCATGTGGGCGTGACCATTAGGCGACTTCTGGATGTGACCATTATGGGCCTTCTGGGCGTTGCCCTTGGGCGACTTCTCGGTGTGACCATCAGGCGACTTCTGGGTGTGACCATCAGGCGACTTCTGGGTGTGACCATCAGGCGACTTCTGGGTGTGACCATTGGGCGACTTCTGGGTGTGACCATTAGGCGACTTCTGGGTGTGACCATTGGGCGACTTCTGGGTGTGACCATCAGGCGACTTCTGATGTGACCATTGGGCGACATATTGTCGTGACTATCGTGCGACTTCTGGGCTTGATCTCTATGTGACTGTTGGGCGTGACCTTCTGACGGCGCCTGGGTTGAACCACTGTTCGATATCTGAGTTTGATTACTGGGTTGCCCCCTCTCACGGAGCGATCTGGAGATACTACCCAACTCTGTGGTGTGGAAAATGTAAGGTACGTGAGAATGTTCAAAACATGCGGAGAGATTTAAAATAGGATCATAGTAAATGCATTCTTTACAAATAATTCTCATCTTATCATATCCCGAAAACTGTATACTCGTGTATATAAATAAATATATTCATATATCTATCTATTTTATATATTAAAACGTATGCGTTATAATACTAACGTTGAGTGATTGATTTCAACATGGCCATTTCTTCACTCTTGCTGCCGCCGTCGACTACTTTAGACATGACTGCTGAATAAAATACATACTAATTTAATTGCATGCTGCGGATCCTTACACGGCTTAGGAGAGCAACTCTTTACAGAACATCAATGAGCATTAGACCGACCGCCGGCAATCGAATGTCAAGCTTGAAACTTTGTATGACGAATTCGTTTACTTTAAGACAACGGTGCTTGATCGCACGTTATTCACTTATCTCGGGCGAACGAGGTCCGTGCAAAGACCTTTATTAACGTTTATCTGGGTGTGATTGGGTGTGAGGGACCTGACGTTGAGGGAGTATGCAGTGTACTCACCATCAGAATACTGCTGGTCTGGCCGACGGTTGGAAGACGATGAAAGCTTCATCTCGGAAACTGAAAATATTTCCTACAATCACATCTTCCGGTAATTTTCTAACAATCAGTGATAGTCCTGCACTGTACAGCAGAGTTCTACAGGACGTAATGTTCTAACAACCAGTGATAGTCCTGCACTGTACATCAGAGTTCTACATAATGTCATTTTTGAACAACCGGTGAGAATCCTTCACTATGTAGCACGGTACCTTTGGACGTAATTTTGGAACAACCGAAGACAATTCTTTGCAGCATTCCAGACAGACAGAAGAATAAATCTCACATTATAATCTTGTATTCCTGTTTATCAGAATGTTCCTTGGTTACACATTATATGAACTGGGAACAAGTATATTGGGTTTTTATTACTTCCAACAGTAGGTGGCTTGCTAGTTGAATGTATGATAAATGTACCGTCTTTACGGATTTCCTTGATTTCCCCCAGAAGAAGTTCCTGCAGTTTCAGCATTTTGTCCATCGCTGTCTCCTCTAAACAAAAGTGTCATACGAGAAACAAAACAATGAAATTTCAACGAGAATTTGCTATACTGTCTAACTTCACATTACTAATGTTTAACATTATTGTTAACGTGCCCTTCTTCACCCCTGCTATATCAGAACCATTTGGTTCCCGAAGCACTCTAAACCAGGTTATATCTGAAACATCTAAGCTGAACGATTCTTATCTTTATCGGATCTATGATATATTAACATGTCATATCCAATCTGACCAATTCCTTAACCGCTTCATATATATCCCAGCAATATCCTATCTGAACCACGAAATATTGTAGCCATGTCTTATGTGATCGATCATTTATTTGAGCAAAATATTTTACCTGACAGTGTACATCATAGCAGAATCCTGTTTAATTCATCAAAACCCAATTCTATGTGACCGGGTATGTATCTGAAAACGTTCCAGCTCATGCTATATTGGTTGGTTGGTTGGTTTGTTTTTAACGCCGCACTCAGCAATATTCCAGCTATATGGCGGCGGTCTGTTAATAATTGAGTCTGGACCAGACAATCCAGTGATCAACATCATGTACATCGATCTACACAAATGGGATACGATGACATGTGTCAACCAAGTCAGCGAACCTGACCACGCGATCCTGTTAGTCGCCTCTTACGACAAGCATGGGTTGCTGAACACGCCGTAGTACATTATTTTTTTTAAACCGTACGTTTTCTGATCGAATAATTTGAATCATGTATGCATATTAATCTGGCCATATATCTCAAAGTGTTCTGTTTGGTTTTGACAGACGAGGTCCTCACCTTCGGATGGTGTCTGGACATCGCCTGAACCTGTATCTTTGTCTTTTTCGTCAATGGCTTCTAGTTGTGTCCCGTTTGACCCCCCCAGCCTTGGTGGAGGTGTCAGGAGTCCTCGGTGCGGTTTCAGCTTTGCGTAAAGTTTAGTAAAACAATAATCACTATCATAATCATATACTGTCCAGAGAAGTATTTATATCTCTTTTCTCTTCTCACCAGTCACACACACACACACACACACACACACACACAATACACACACACACACACACACACACACACACACACATATTAATAATACACATTTTGCATTACACACATTGTATATCACACACACACACACACACACACACGTGTGTCTATCTGTAACAGACCCTATGATCGGTTCCCTGTCAGCAACACATATCTGATTGGTAAAGCCGTCTGAAGCAGACTATCTTGGTCCCGTTCGGTATCGTAGCGCTACGATGATCGTAACTCCATACTTTAACATAGACTTACGACTGTCGTAGCGCCACAATCGCTTTGAGGAACAGGGTCCCGATCGGTAACCTGCCCGTAACATATCATCTGATTGTTGACCTCACCGTAACATTCTCTATGTGATCAGTTACTGTGCGTAACAGACTCTATCTGATCTGTGACCTGCCTGCCACAGACTCCATCTGATCCGTAACCTGCCTGCCACAGACTCTATCTGATCCGTAACCTGCATGCCACAGACTTTATCTGATCCGTAACCTGCCTGCCATAGACTCTATCTGACGAATGGGCGGTATCAGCGTAAAACTTTTTAGGGTGACCAGCTCGGGGCGTTTGGGCGTAACCATTCTGCGACATCTGGGCATGTTCACTGGGCGCCGACTGGGCGCTTCCATCAGGCGACCACTGGGTGCGACCATTGGGCGACATCTGGGTTTGTCTATTTGGCCACACATGGGCATATCCATTGTGAGACTCTTGACCAGTTGACGGCCAATTGGCGAAACCACTGTGTGATGTCTGAGCTTGATTATTTGACCGCAACTGGTTGTGACCGTTGGGCGACATCTGGGCGTGGTCAATGGCCGACTTCTTGGCGTGATCATTGTACGACATATGGGCGTGGTCAGGGTGTGGCATATGGGCGTGATCACCGTGCGACTTCTGGGTGTGATCATTGGCCGACTTCTGGGCGTGACCATTGTGCGACATATGGGCGTGGTCAGGGTGTGGTATATGGGCGTGACCACCGTGCGACTTCTGGGTGTGAGCATTGGCCGACTTCTGGGCGTGACCATTGTGCGACATATGGGCGAGGTCAGGGTGTGGCATGTGGGCGTGACCATTAGGCGACTTCTGGATGTGATCATTGGCCGACTTCTGGGTGTGACCATTGTGCGACATATGGGCGTGGTCAGGGTGTGGCATATGGGTGTGACCACTGTGCGACTTCTGGGTGTGATCATTGGCCGACTTCGGGGCGTGACCATTGTGCGACATATGGGCGTGGTCAGGGTGTGGCATATGGGCGTGACCATTAGGCGACTTCTGGATGTGATCATTGGACGACTTCTGGGTGTGACCATTGTGCGACATATGGGCGTGGTCAGGGTGTGGCATATGGGCGTGACCACTGTGCGACTTCTTGGTGTGATCATTGGCCGACTTCGGGCGTGACCATTGTGCGACATGAGGGCGTGATCAGGGTGTGGAATGTGGGCGTGACCATTAGGCAACTTCTGGATGTGATCATTGGCCGACTTCTGGGTGTGACCATTGTGCGACATATGAGCGTGGTCATTGTGCGGCATGTGGGCGTGACCATTAGGCGACTTCTGGATGTGACCATTATGGGCCTTCTGGGCGTTGCCCTTGGGCGACTTCTCGGTGTGACCATCAGGCGACTTCTCGGTGTGACCATCAGGCGACTTCTGGGTGTGACCATCAGGCGACTTCTGGGTGTGACCATTGGGCGACTTCTCGGTGTGACCATTAGGCGACTTCTGGGTGTGACCATTGGGCGACTTCTGGGTGTGACCATCAGGCGACTTCTGGGTGTGACCATTGGGCGACATATTGTCGTGACTATCGTGCGACTTCTGGGATTGATCTCTATGTAACTGTTGGGCGTGACCTTCTGACGGCGCCTGGGTTGAAACACTGTTCGATATCTGAGTTTGATTACTGGGTTGCCCCCTCTCACGGAGCGATCTGGAGATCCTACCCAACTCTGTGGTGTGGAAAATGTAAGGTACGTGAGAATGTTCAAAACATGCGGAGAGATTTAAAATAGGATCATAGTAAATGCATTCTTTACGAATAATTATCATCTTATCATATCCGGAAAACTGTATACTCGTGTATATAAATAAATATATTCATATATCTATCTATTTTATATATTAAAACGTATGCGTTATAATACTAACGTTGAGTGATTGATTTCAACATGGCCATTTCTTCACTCTTGCTGCCGCCGTCGACTACTTTAGACATGACTGCTGAATAAAATACATACTAATTTAATTGCATGCTGCGGATCCTTACACGGCTTAGGAGAGCAACTCTTTACAGAACATCAATGAGCATTAGACCTTGACCGCCCGCAATCGAGTGTCAAGCTTGAAACTTTGTATGACGAATTCGTTTACTTTGAGACAACGGTGCTTGATTGCACGTTATTCACTTATCTCGGGCGAACGAGGTCCGTGCAAAGACCTTTATTAACGTTTATCTGGGTGTAATTGGGTGTGAGGGAGCTGACGTTGAGTGAGTAATGCAGTGTACTCACCATCAGAAGACTGCTTGTCTGGCCGACGGTTGGAAGACGATGAAATCTTCATCTGGGAAACTGAAAATATTTCCTACAATCACATCTTCCGGTAATTTTCTAACAATCGGTAATTGGCCTTCACTGTACAGCATAGTTCTACAGGACGTAAGTTTGTAACAACCAGTGATAGTCCTGCACTGAACATCAGAGTTGTACAGGACGTAATGTTCTAACAACCAGTGATAGTCCTGCACTGTACATCAGAGTTCTACATGACGTAATTTTTGAACAACCGGTAAGAATCCTTCACTATGTAGCACGGTACCTTTGGACGTAATTTTGGAACAACCGAAGACAATTCTTTACAGTATTCCAGACAGACAGAAGAATAAACCTCACATTATAATCTTGTATTCCTGTTCATCAGAATGTTCCTTGGTTACACATTATATGAACTGGGAACAAGTATATTGGGCTTTTATTACTTCCAACAGTAGGTGGCTTGTTAGTTGAATGTATGATAAATGTACCGTCTTTACGGATTTCCTTGATTTCCCCCAGAAGAAGTTCCTGCAGTTTCAGCATTTTGTCCATCGCTGTCTCCTCTAAACAAAAGTGTCATACGAGAAACAAAACAATGAAATTTCAACGGGAATTTGCTATACTGTCTAACTTCACATTACTAATGTTTAACATCATTGTTAACGTGCCCTTCTTCACCCCTGCTATATCTGAACCATTTGGTTCCCGAAACACTCTAAACCAGGTTATATCTGAAACATCTAATCTAATGTTTAACATCATTGTTAACGTGCCCTTCTTCAACCCTGCTATATCTGAACCATTTGGTTCCCGAAACACTCTAAACCAGGTTATATCTGAAACATCTAATCTAATGTTTAACATCATTGTTAACGTGCCCTTCTTCACCCCTGCTATATCTGAACCATTTGGTTCCCGAAACACTCTAAACCAGGTTATATCTGAAACATCTAATCTAATGTTTAACTTCATTGTTAACGTGCCCTTCTTCACCCCTGCTATATCTGAACCATTTGGTTCCCGAAGCACTCTAAACCAGGTTATATCTGAAACATCTAATCTAATGTTTAACATCATTGTTAACGTGCCCTTCTTCACCCCTGCTATATCTGAACCATTTGGTTCCCGAAGCACTCTAAACCAGGTTATATCTGAAACATCTAAGCTGAACGATTCTTATCTTTATCGGATCTATGATATAGTAAAATGTCATATCCAATCTGACCAATTCCTTAACCGTTTCATATATATCCCAGCAATATCCTATCTGAACCACGAAATATTGTAGCCATGTGTTATGTGATCAATTATTTATTTGAGGCAAATCATATCTTTTGCCTGACAGTGTACATCCTAGCAGAATCCTGTTTAATTCATCAAAACCAAATTCTATGTGACCGGTTATGTATCTGAAAACGTTCCAGCTCATGCTATGTTGGTTGGTTGGTTGGTTTGTTGTTTAACGCCGCACTCAGCAATATTCCAGCTATATGGCGGCGGTCTGTTAATAATTGAATCTGGACCAGACAATCCAGTGATCAACATCAGGTACATCGATCTACGCAAATGGGATACGATGACATGTGTCAACCAAGTCAGCGAACCTGACCACGCGATCCTGTTAGTCGCCTCTTACGACAAGCATGGGTTACTGAACACGCCGTAGTAAATCATTTTTTATAAACCATACGTTTTCTGATCGAATAATCTGAATCATGTATGCATATTAATGTGGTCAGATATCACAAAGTGTTCTGTTTGGTTTTGACAGACGTGGTCCTCACCTTCGGATGGTGTCTGGACATCGCCTGAACCTGTATCTTTGTCTTTTTCGTCGATGGCTTCTAGTTGTGTCTCGTTTGACCCCCCGGCCTTGGTGGAGGTGTCAGGAGCCCTCGGTGCGGTTCCAGCTTTGCGTAAAGTTTAGTAAAACAATAATCACTATCATAATCATATACTGTCCAGAGAAGTATCTATATCTCTTTTTCTCTTCTCACTAGTCACACACACACACACACACACACACACACACACACACACACACACACACACACACACACACACACACACACACACACACACACACACACACACACACACACACACACACACACACACACACACACACACACACACACACACACACACACGTGTCTATCTGTAACAGACCCTATGATCGGTTCCCTGTCAGCAACACATATCTGATTGGTAAGCCGTCTGAAGCAGACTATCTTGGTCCCGTTCCTCAAAACGATCGTAGCGCTACGATGATCGTAACTCCCATACTTTAACATAGACTTACGACTGTCGTAGCGCCACAATCGCTTTGAGGAACAGGGTCCCGATCGGTAACCTGCCCGTAACATATCATCTGATTGTTGACCTCACCGTAACATTCTCTATGTGATCAGTTACTGTGCGTAACAGACTCTATCTGATCTGTGACCTGCCTGCCACAGACTCCATCTGATCCGTAACCTGCCTGCCACAGACTCTATCTGATCCGTAACCTGCATGCCACAGACTTTATCTGATCCGTAACCTGCCTGCCATAGACTCTATCTGATCCGTAACCTGCCCGAAACAGACTCTATCTGATCCGTAACCTGCCCGAAACAGACTCTATCCGATCAGTGACCTGCCTCCCACAAGGTCTATCTTATCAGTGACCTGCCTGTAACAGACTCTATCTTGTCAGTGACCTGCCTGTAACAGACTCTATCTTGTCAGCGACCTGCCTGTAACAGACTCTATCTGATCAGTGACCTGCCTGTAACAGACTCTATCTTGTCAGTGACCTGCCTCCCACAAAGTCGATCTTATCAGTGACCTGCCTGTAACAGACTATCTGATCAGTGACCTGCCTGTAACCGACACTATCTTATCAGTGACCTGCCTGTAACCGACACTATCTTATCAGTGACCTGCCTGTAACAGTCTCTATCTTATCAGTGACCTGCCTGTAACAGTCTCTATCTTATCAGTGACCTGCCTGTAACAGACTCTATCTAATCAGTGACCTGCCTGTAACAGTCTCTATCTTATCAGTGACCTGCCTGTAACAGTCTCTATCTTGTCAGTGACCTGCCTGTGACAGACTCTATCTAATCAGTGACCTGCCTGTAACAGACTCTATCTTATCAGTGACCTGCCTGTAACAGACTCTATCTTGTCAGTGACCTGCCTGTAAGAAACTCCATCATATCAGTGACCTGCCTGTAACCGACTCCATCTTATCAGTGACCTGCCTGTAACAGACTCTATCTTTTCAGGGACCTGCCTGTAAGAAACTCCATCATATCAGCGACTTGCCTGTAACAGACTCTATCTAATCAGTGACCTGCCTGTAACAGTCTCTATCTAATCAGTGACCTGCTTCCCACAAAATCTATCTTATCAGTGACCTGCCTGTAACAGACTCTATCTAATCAGTGACCTGCCTGTAACACTCTATCTTATCAGTGACCTGCCTGTAACAGACTCTACCTGATCAGTGACCTGCCTGTAACACTCTATCTTATCAGTGACCTGCCCGAAACAGACTCTATCTGATCAGTGACCTGCCTGTAACTGACTCTATCTGATCAGTGACCTGCCTGTAACAGACTCTATCTGATCAGTGACCTGCCTGTAACTGACTCTATCTTGTCAGTGACCTGCCTGTTACCGACTCTATCTGATCCGTGACCTGCCTGTAACAGACTTTATCTCGTCCGTGACCTGCCTGTAACACTCTATCTTATCAGTGACCTGCCTGTAACAGACTCTATCTGATCGGTGACCTGCCTGTAACCGACTCTATCTGTTCAGTGATCTGCCTGTAACAGACTCTATCTGATCAGTGACCTGCCTGTTACAGACTCTATCTGATCAGTGACCTGCCTGTAACAGACTCTATCTTGTTAGTGACCTGCCTGTAACAGACTTTATCTCGTCCGTGACCTGCCTGTAACACTCTATCTTATCAGTGACCTGCCTGTAACAGACTATCTTATCAGTGACCTGCCTGTAACAGACTCTATTTTATCAGTGACCTGCCTGTAACAGACTCTATCTTATCAGTGACCTGCCTGTAACAGACACTATCTTGTCAGTGACCTGCCTGTAACAGACTCGATCTGATCTGATGCATGTATGTTTGTATGTATGTATAAACCACTACAAAAAAAGTAATCATACGCGGTGTGTTCGTGAAACGATAGGAACCACTGACCTGTCAAATCAACCGCCACCGTCAACATCGTCGACACTACCAAGACGACAAACATCACCCGCATCATGTTGTAAACACTAGGAAGAAAAGAACAAAGTGAATTCCCTGCCTGCTCAGCTATTAAATAACGTTGTGTTCCCCATCCCGCAAGACTTCAAGAGCCAATGAGGAATTGATGACCCAAATTAGACAAACATCGGTTCATAAAAACAGCAAATAAATGTTTTGACGACGTTTCGAAATTGTAAACTAGTATTTTGTGATAAGTCTTGGACAAAGAGGGTTAAGTACTCACCGACACGGTCCACTGGGGTTGGATGTTGTTTTACTCCAACTCAGCAAAATTCTTGAGTAATCGCCAAATACAGTAAATATGACATTTTGCAACTTATATAGGACTTTGGTCATTAAAAATATGCTGAGCATACAAACTTTTGACAGAAGTACTTGCACCAAGTATCAAGTTCCATGTTCGAATATCATTAACTTTGACAAATATGAACAAAACCACTGCTCAAAATGATTATCATTTTATTACAAGGTTTATGACCTTGGTAACAATGCAAGTCCAACATTCTCACGACTGGCGAAGAATGTTGTGCAAGATTGATCTCCTTTACATATTGGTCCATATAGCATAAACTTGATTTCGATCTGTGCACAGGCTATTAAGAAACTACCTTTTTCGTATAAAGTCGTATTGTACCATTTCAGATTTTGCAAGGCATCTGTTCTTTTTTGTTGAAAACAACATGCTTGTAGGTTCAGGATTCTTGACACGAAATGACGCCCTGTTCAATGACCCAATACTCAGCAGCAAACAACGTTCATTTCTTACAGGGACACATGTAATGATATATGTCATACTATACTTCCCGTCAATAGCTTAGACACACTTAAATCACTGACTATATGTTATGTATATTATATATGGTTACATCGAAAATCGATTTCTCCACTAATTTGGGGGGGAACCAACTGCAAACCTTGTGCAGATGAATTGCAGGAGGATCATGCATCAAATTGCTGACAAGTATATGCAAATATCGTGCATGTGAACAGCTGCGTTTTGGTGTAAAGTTTTGTTAAGAATTCGCCAATTTTAACTGATTTTTATAATTTATTGAACTCACGACAATAATCTTTTCAACGTTACGAATTTGTTTTACAATGCATCAGTTCATGTGTAAACAGTTCCTTTAAACAGTATGGAATATTTTGCAAAATTTAGTTGCCTGAAGTAAGTGGCTATATTTACACTAGTGAGTCTAAACTTTTGATGGGAAGTATATACTGAGGAGTTACATTAGTGACTGTGAATGCTTCAGGCCGCATTTTAGCGACATTACAGAAGCATAACGTGAAACAATAAACCCATCTGGAGAACGTAGTAACACGGGTTTTCAGCGTGAGGAGTAACCGTGTTATCCACAAGGCTACCCCACTGTCATATTGACAGATATGAATAGATAAGATTAATGTCATGGGCAATGAGATATTAATAATAGATGTTTACAAGGATAGGGGCCACGATAAATTGCTGAATTATTAGTTTAGGCAAATACTTTGTTACAAATGGGGCCAGGGAGAGTGGATAATATTTCATACAAGTTTCATCCAAAAGGAGTGAGTGAATGAGTGAGTATGCTTTTACGTCGCTTTAAGCATTATTCAAGCCATATCACGGCGGGGACACCAGAAATGGGCTTCACACATTGTACCCATGTTCGGAATCGAACCCGGGTCTTCGGCGTGACGAACTAACGCTTTAACCACTGGGCTACCCCACAGCCTCGTGTGTGGTAATGTGACAGTGTTATTCCAAGTGTAATACATTGTACAAGTGAATAGTCAGTGAGGGACAGTGGTGTGCTATAATTAGACTTGTGCTATATTTGGACAGAGTTCTGGAAGGTGCTACGAGGTACAACCCTATAGGCTTTGCTTCCAAGTTCTGGCAGAGAGTTGGAGAATTTTTTGGAGTCTTTTTTCTTAGGTATATAAGGGGAGCGAACACTTACCCTGGATAGTCAGCCTGGGACTAATTCTAGAAATATTACCACTGTTGCAGTGAGGCGAAAATTACTATCATTGCTATGATCATTGTTTTTTGAATTTGTACTCCCACTCCCATGTTGTGCCACTGTATTCTTCACCTTAACGTTGCTGTGTTTTGATGAGGACGTCATTCAGAATAGGCAGACTTTGTTAGCTTAACAATTTTGGTCGAATCCATTGTGAGATGATCTAGAGTGGTGGGTTCTGGTGGGATTGTTCGTGTCCAGGGTCTGATAAAAATACTATCTAATGCATTATCCATACATCCAAAGTACATACAACATTATTCTTATTATCATTCATTCGGACAACACAAGGAATTATTATGAGGAAGGGTGATGATGATGATGATGATGATGATGATGATGATGATTGCAGAAGCAGTAATGATGACAAATCTGTAATTATCATCTACCTGCTGAGTAACTTTTTTCGAAAATGGAATATGAAATCAACATCAGATCATCCACATATAAACTTTATTCATTTGAAAGAAAACGTATGTGGGCAAATGTGTTCATTTGAACTCAGTGGTGTCTAACTTATTTAAAGAAGAATGGTGACGAGGCTTTCAAACTTTTGAATCCACCGCCAAAAATTGACCCAAAATCACTCGTCGCCTCAGTGAACGGTCCACGCTGCTGGGCATCGTCACCTGAGGTTTGCCCAGCTGTCAGGAGTGGATTCCCATTGTCTTCATCATTCTTCCTTGAGTCTTGGCGTGAACATAGAAAAAACACTATCATTGAAAGAGGAGTCAAGTCAAGTTCAAGTCACTTTTCACAAGGAGTGAGCTAGTGAGTGACTTTACTGTTACGCCGCACTCAGCAATATCCCAGCTATATGGCGGCGGTCTGTAAATAATCGAGTCCAGACCAGACAATCCAGTGATCAACAAATAATGAGCATCGATCAGCGCAATTGGGAACCGATGACATGTGTCAACCAAGTCAGCGAGCCTGACCACCTGATCCCGTTAGTCGCCTGTTACGACAAGCATGGGTTACTGAAGGCCAATTGTAACCCGGACCTTCACGGGTCGTAACGCCGAAGACCCGGGTTCGATTTCCCACATGGGTACACTGTGAAGCTCATTCTGCTAATCTTAGAATTAAATAATCAGATTTAACGCTTATAATTTGATGAAAATGATGTTAGTGGCGGTAGCTATACCTGTAATCAGTTTGTACAACATTTTATGACTTGAGATGATTGGTGATAGTTTCTACATTCTAAGTACCGTACATGAAATTGAGAGCAGTTACAGGTTATCTTTGGTTTGGTTTGCTGTGTTACGTCTCACTCAGCTATAGTCCAGCTATATGACGGGGTCTGTACATAATCGAGTCTGGACCAGACAATCAAGTAATCAATAGCATGAACATCGATCTACTTAATTGGGATTAGTTGAACCATCAGATCCCGTTGCAATTGGTCGCCTCTTACGACAAGCATGGGTTGCTGAAGACCAATTCTAACCCGGATCTTCATGGGTTACAGGCTCACATAACAACGTTTGTCTGTAATAAACTTACCTGTCGCTTGATTGCCACCCATGGCGTTTCCAAATAGCTGGCTGAACATGTTATCACCAGTCGTATCACCAGACTCACCAACAATCTGCAGTGGCATTCCTGAGTAGGAATCTAAAACACGTGAGGAGTGAGTGAGTATGCAATTTGCATTTCAGCAATACTTCAGCAATATCACGGCGTGGGAAACAGGGTCGGGGCTTCAGACAGAACAGTGGAGCCACGATAGAAGCGTAAACGACAAATAAGGATCAATGTCAAATACATCATGGGATCAGTATTGTCAATAGAAGTTCGACAAACATTTCTTCGAGGTCAATACTGTCAATAGAAGTTCGACAAACAAACTTTGGGATCAGTATTGTCAATAAACTTTCGACAAAGAAACCTTGGAATCAGTATTGTCAATAAAAGTTCGACAAACAAACCTTGGAATCAGTATTGTCAATAGAAGTTCGACAAACAAACCTTGGAATCAGTATTGTCAATAGAAGTTCGACAAACAAACCTTGGAATCAGTATTGTCAATAGAAGTTCGACAAAGAAGCCTTGGAATCAGTATTGTCAATAGAAGTTCGACAAACAAGCCTTGGAATCAGTATTGTCAATAAAAGTTCGACAAAGAAGCCTTGGAATAAGTATTGTCAATAGAAGTTCAACAAACAAATCTTGGAATCAGTATTGTCAATAGAAGTTCGACAAACAAACCTTGGGATCAGTATTGTCAATAAAAGTTCGACAAAGAAGCCTCGGAATCAGTATTGTCAATAGAAGTTCGACAAACAAACCTTGGAATCAATACTGTCAATAGAAGTTCGACAAACAAACCTTGGAATAAGTATTGTCAATAGAAGTTCAACAAACAAATCTTGGAATCAGCAAATAGAAGGACAAACAAGCCTTGGCATTAATCAATAGAATAGTTCGACAAACAAGCCTTGGAATCAGCATTGTCAATAGAAGTCCGACAAAGAAGGATGGAGGTCAGTGTAGTTGACTGATAAAGGGAGTTTCCGATAAGAAACACTTTGCAAATGATGCAATTGCTGTGACTTGGGCGCATGCTTGAACTCATTTCATCGTCAGATATGTCGGAGGACATGTTGATTCATCGCTCCCTGATTCTGTCTACGATTCTGAGAAATAAATATACCCCACGAGGTTGCAGAAGCTAGAAAGGACAGTTTTATCAGTATTTTGTACACTCTGTACAATATTGTTTTATGCCGCTATACCATAACAACACCGATGAGGACACAATGATACGTCACCACACGCTCCACAAATAATTTTTGCATAGTGGGCGCTACCGGTGTTGATTTTGAGAAATAAATATAACCCAATAATCATACTCACTCACTCACTCACTGTTATAAAATATGTAAAGCTTTTCAAGCTGAAAGTATCATATACTGACTCGATTGCCCAGTTGTATTCCCAGGTCCTGCAAGTAGCTGTTTCATCACGTTGAATTCCATTGCTGCTAACTTCTCTGCAGAGTCTGCAAAACAAAACAAAACAAGTAGAGAGGATACAGACAAGCCGTTTACTTCCATATCCATTTCAATAGCTGAGGGGAGGTGGGGTAGCCTAGTAGTTAAAGCGTTCGCTCGTCACGCCAAAGACCCGGGTTCGACTCCCTACATGGGTACAATGTGTGAAGTCCATTTCGGGTGTTCCTCCTTGTGATATTGCTGGAATATTGCTAAAAGCGGCATAACACTGAACTCACTCACTCACTCATTCCAACAGCAGCAGCAGACACAGCTAAGTGTTAACTAATTCATGTCAAAGCATCTTTAAGATGTGTAGCCTTCATGGTAATGGGGATCATATTGCTAACATAGTGTTTGGAATTGTAATCCTGTCAGCAAATAGTCGTGCTTCAATCTTCACATAACGGAGGCAAGACTGTGATATGCTTCTAGGTTCAGCCTAAGTGAGGTGAGGTGAGGTGAGGTGAGGTGAGGTGAGGTGAAATGGGGTTTAACGTCGTACTGAAGAATATTTCGCTCATATGACGACGTGCATGTGCGTGATGTGTGGCTTCTTGTACTAGCCCAGACATAAGCTGGTTTTACAGTGCAAGCTCATTGAGATACCATGCCGCAGTTAAGCAGGAATACCCCACTCAGACACATTATACTGACTCCGAGCCGACCAGTCCTTGTTTTACTCAGACAAGTACCATATTTCAACGTCCTTTGGTATGATGCGGCCGGGGATCGAACCCGCGACCTTCCGTTCTCCAGGTGGACGCTCTAACCACTAGAGCCACGGAGGCGGTGTTCAGCAAGGAATGTGATTTTATGTTCAGGGCCTTTACGTAGTATGGCACGGTGGGGTGGGGTAGCCTAATGCTGAAAGCTTGTCACGTTGGACACCGAATTCGATTCCCCACATGGTTATATGTATGAAACCACTTCTGGTGTCCTCCGCCGTGATATTGCTGGAATATTGCTGGAATATTGCTAAGAGCGGCGTAAAACCATACTCACTCACTGTTGTAAAATATGTAAAGCTTATAATACTGACCGGTTGTATTCCCAGCTCCTCCAAGTAGCTGTTTCATCATGTCGAGTTCCATGGCTGCTAGATCCTCTTCAGTGTCACCACTTTAGACCTTGTCATAAAAGTAGCTGTTTCATCATGTCGAGTTCCATGGCTGCTAGATCCTCTTCAGTGTCTGCAAAACAAAACACTTTAGGCATTCCAGATTGTCATAAAAAGGTGGAGTTGGAGATCGTGTTATCAATGCAGTGTTTGTAAGTGTAATCCTGTATCAAAGGTGGAGTTGGAGATCGTGTTATCAATGCAGTGTTTGTAAGTGTAATCCTGTATCAAAGTGTGGAGGATTGCAATCTGAATTCGCTCAGCAGCACCAAAAGAGTGGGTGTGAGAATGGTTTTATGCCGCACAGCAGGCGTATTTCAGGTTTTGGTCAGTTCTTAACACCATGTTTCCTTATGCCTATATCTGTAGACTGCCGGGCTTCGGTTAGATATTACAGCGTTCACTCGTCACGCCGAAAGCCTGGGTTCGATTCCCCATATGAGTACAATGTGTGAATCCCATTTCTGGTGTCCTCCGCCGTGATATTGCCGGAATATTGCTAAAAGCGGCGTAAAACTAAACTCACTCACTCACTTCGGTCAGATAGCCAATTACTCATTCCCCCAAGTAATTAACTGACCCTCCCTTGTTTCAGATTATTCTCAGTAGAAAAGGAAAAATAGCGATGAATGTTATTGGAATTGTTGACTGAAAATCAGCTAAACACTGCAATAACTTCTTGAAGTGGCTGCTATGATGGAGATGGTATGATGGACTTTTTATGGATAGACTTCTTCATTATTGCAACAAATGCGACGTTTCGGCGTAGATCCTAACGCCGTCATCAAACAATACGTGTCGGTAGATCGAATGCTTAATAACAGTGTTAGGATCTACACCGAAGCGTCACTGCAATAAAGTGAGTGAGTGAGTTTAGTTTTACGCCGCACTCAGCAATATTCCAGCTATATGGCGGGGGTCTGTAAATAATCGAGTCTGGACCAGACAATCCAGTGATCAACAGCATGAGCATCGATCTGCGCAATTGGGAACCGATGACATTTGTCAACCAAGTCAGCGAAACTGACCACCCGATCCCGTTAGTCGCCTCTTGCGACAAGATAGTCGCCTTTTTATGGCAAGCACATGGGTTGCTGAAGACCTATTCTACCCCGGATCTTCACGGGTCCACTGCAATAAAGAAGTTGTCTGTCCATAAAAAGTGTTCCTCTTAAACACCCCAATGTCATGCGTTTGCATGTAGCTTACATACATGACAAAAGGGATGAACGTTTCTCAATAGTAATTTTTTCCCTTTTGTCGTGTAAAATTTGATGCATCAGTCAAAATAAAAATATGTCCGATGCGATTCTTTATTTAATTTTTACTATATTATACGTTCCCGCTTTTTCCAGGTGAATAATTGACTAGCCTTTCCATGTGTTTATGACGGGTGTCACCGATTGGAGACCGATTTTCCCGAAACCTGGTGTCATCACTGTTTTATACTGATTCATAAACACATGCTCATGATATAGTCGGAATTGTTAACTGAAATTTTCTTATGGATGCGGAAACGGTTTTATCGCGTTTAGTTTAGTGCATTTTGACTGAACACATGGTGACGTTACTTATATTTGTAACCAACCACATCTAAAATAACACAGCTTACCTGAAAGGTCAAACGCCACGCCCTTCTTTAAGAGTGTCTTCATAACTGTCTTTAGTTGTATTACTGGAATGAAATTATGAAGACTATACAGTGAAAATGTCCAGGCAACTGAGGAATGGGTCGCTAATGCCTAGAAACTCACTGATGTACATATCTATTCATGCACGAATGCTGTTACTGCACGAACATATGCATTACTGAAGTATTCTCTGCCAGTACTTGTTTGTTGTTTAATGTCACACTCGGCAATACTCTAGCTATATGGCGGCGAGTTTGGACCAGACAATCCACTGATCAACAGCAACTACCTATATGTAATTTTGTTGATGATATGTGTATCCAATGTGGTATCCAATGCAGAAAGAGCGTCCGCCCGTAGAGTGGAAGGTCGCGGGTTCGATCCCCGACCGCGTCATACCAAAAGACGTTAAAATATGGTACTTGTTGGTCCCTGCCTGGCTCTCGGCATTAATGGGTACAACAAGGACTGGTCAGCTCGGAGTCAGTATAATGTGTCTGAGTGGGGTATTCATGCTTCACTGCGGCATGGTATCTCAGTGGGCTAGCACTATAAAACCAGCTTCAGTCTGGGCTAGTACAAGCAGCCGCACCTACACATACACACGCATGCACGTCGTCATATGAGCAAAACATTCTCAAGCACGACGTTAAACCCAATTTCACCTCACTTCACTTCCAATGCAGAAAACCATTACCTGCTTTGTGAATCATTTGTATTTGGTCAGCCATCTTCTGTTGTTGTTCATCCAGTTCAGACAGCCCTGAAAGAAGTGAGTGAGCATGGTTTAACGCCGCATTTAACAATTTTACAGCAATGTTACGCTGGTGGACACCATAAATGGGCTTCACACATTGGACCTATGTGGGGAATCGAACCCGGTCTTCAGCGTGACGAGCGGACGCATTTAGTCACTATAGGCTGGCTCACGTCAACAAAATATTCGGCAAATGCTGGCTGTTCAGGAAGAAAGCTGATGAAGAAGAACATTCTCTTCAGTCGTGGCAGGGGGCGGTGGGGTAGCCTAGTGGTTAAAGCGTTGGCTCGTCACGCCGAAGACCCGGGTTCGAATCCCCACATGGGTACAATGTGTGAAGCCCATTTCTGGTGTCCCCCGCCGTGATGTTGCTGGAATATTGCTAAAAGCGGCGTAAAACCAAACTCAGTCAGTCAGTCAGTCAGTCAGTCAGTCGTGGCAGAGTCCGCAAATTTGACTTTGTTCACTGAGGGCTCTCTAAAAATAAGCATGTGCGAGAAACTCGTGACAAATTGCAGGACTTGCACGTGCAAACAGCTTTTCAATTTCTTAAGAAAACAAATCATGCAAATGTTATAGGTCGTAACTCTAAAGGCAATAAAGACGTTTTATAAGTATAAGTTATAACTAGAAGTAAAGTGGACATTATTTTCCTTTGGAGGATAATTAGTACAATTTAGCAATTAAGTTCATAGGTTCATACAAGTGCTTCACCAGACATGCAGCATGTGCCCTTTATCGATCGCTATCATTTGGTAGGCGTATTAGCTTATAGGTGTATATTTTTAAAATAGAATGTTCAAATAAGGGACCGTTAATAATTTATGACTAGTAGGGTGATGATGATTTTTATGGAGAAACAAGTACAATGTGAATGCCCCCCCTAAAATTTATGTACAAAATAAGTACCCCCCTGCATGTCATGTACAAAATCAATGACCACCCTCCCCTTCCCATAATTTCTAAGCATAATTTTAAACATATTTTGAAGTACAAAATTGCTGACCCCACTAGCTCCCCAAAACAAAATGGGTGACCCCCCTTAAAATCATCATCACTCCCCCTAGTCATAAATTATGAACGGTCCTTAAGTATTTTACTTGTTTTAAGTGTGCTGTATCAATAGTCTAGATGTACTTATTAGTGTACTAAATTAGAGTGGGTGAGTGATTAAAGATTACGCCGCTTTTCCCAGCAATAATACGGCGGAGGGACACCAGAAATTAGCTCAACACTCATGTGACAAATCGAACCCGGTGTGACGAGTGCTTTAACTACTCGTTAAAGAAACTTGAGACTTACTAGTATCAGCTGTCTCAGCGCCGTTTCCCCCCGAAATGCCGGCAAGGAGAAGGAGTGACGTCACCACCAACAACCGTGCCATCATGTTCACCTACAAAGGAAGGCAGCCTCTTCACCAAAACATTCATTTTCCAAATTTAATTGGTTGGTATGTTGTCTTTCGCCGCACTCTACAATATTCCAGCTATGGCGGCGGTCTGTAAATAATCAAGTCTGGACCAAACAACCCAGTGATCAACAACATGAGCATAGATCTACGCAATACGGGAGTCAACCAGTCAGAAAGTCTGACCACCCTATCCCGTTAGTCGCCTTTTTCGACAAGCAGTGGTTACTTAAGACCAATCCTAACCTGGATCTTCACGGGTCTTCCAAATTTGACGCATCACTGACCAAATATAGGACTTCAGCGCAAAAGAATATTGACTTTCCTCAGAAACAATTTCCGTTTGGTGTAAAGGGAAAAAGAGTTGATATTATATGAATAGATCACTGAAAACCAGGGTGACACCAGATGTTCGCGAAGAGGGGACTGCTGTCCTGCTCTACCGGACGACCATGCAATCAAAGAAATTGCCTAAAATTAGGAGTATGTTTTGCCTGACGCCATACAGGCCAAGCGACGGCGGCCTGTAAACAAATCAGACAATCAAGTGATCGATGGAACGGAAAATACAGTCAGATAATTGTGTATTACGACAGCTGTATAAAGTGAGTGAGTGAAGAAAGTGAGTGAGTGAGTTTAGCTTTATGCCGCGGCATGGGTTTCACACATTGTACCCATGTTGGGAATCGAACCCGGGTCGTCTGCGTGACGAGCGAACGCTTTAACCACTTGGCTACCCCACCGCAATTATAAGTAAAGAGTGACGGCTGGGGACACCAGAAACGGGTTTTACACATTATATGTAAAGAAACACGTTTGGGAAATAGATTTGCTTTGGGGTCAGTTTTAATGTCTCGGACCAAACATTTCTTTTGTATGTGACTCGGCGTGACTTAAATATGCTACTGAGCTTATGATGAAACTCGGAAACTTCAATTCACCAACAGAAACATCGCCTCAGTTGAATTAAACATAGAAGTCCGTGCAAATTTGATGTTTGATGAAATTTTGTCTTGTACTTTTATGTTCCCGTTTTCCTCAGTTAACGAAAAATCATAAAAAGTTTGTATTGTTTGTTAAAGAGTTCCACCCGTTGGGCAGATACGTGAACATAGGGTATCAACAAAATTGGAGAGTGATTCGTAACCACATGCTCAGGAGACCCGTGAAGATCCGGGTTAGAATTGATCTTCAGTAACACATGCTTGTCGTAAGAGGCGACTAATGGGATCGGGTGGTCAGACTCGTTGGCTTGGTTGACACATGTCATCGTATCCCAATTACGTAAGGGCGGTGGGGTAACCTAGTGGTTAAAGCGTTGGCTCGTCACGCCAAAGACCCGGGTTCGAATCCCCACATGGGTACATTGTGTGAAGCCCATTTCTGGTGTCCCCCGCCGTGATGTTGCACGAATATTGCTAAAAACGGCGTAAAACCAAACTCAGTCAGTCAGTCCAATTACGTAGATATATGCTTATGCTGTTGATCACTGGATTGCCTTGTGCAGACTCGATTATTTACAGAACGCCGTTAATTGCTGGAATATTGCTGAGTGCGGCGTTAAACGACCAACCAAAATGCTCAGTAGGAATTGTAAACTGACTTTGCTTTAAGCTTTCTGTTTGTACATGATTCATTGGATAATCGATAATCTGGTGTTGATGTTTTACGTTTATCGAAAGAGTTCTTTCGCTTTTAATTTCACTTCCTGTTAGATATCCCACAACGACTATACAAGAATGTATGTCCATTTTAACCAAAGTAATCCTTCATTTTATGCAACCGTAATAATCACACTGCATTTTACTCTACTGACGAACTCTACTACTCTACTCACCCACCCAATGTCTTTGTCTTCCGCCTGATAGAAAAGTAAAAAGTGCGTTTGGCTCAAAAATGGACCGATGAATTGCAGTCTAACTCAAAAACTAATAAACATGCAATACTCAATGAAACGCTGATCATAATCAAAATGTCAGACCAACTCTGTGATTTGTTTGCAGAATTTATGTCCTAAAATTAAAAAAGTTGTTTAACAAACTATCATTAAAATATTGACACAGTTCACTATTTGTTACGAGGGGAGGTGTGCAGAGAAAGGGACAGCCAGGTGTTCGAGAAGCACGTGCACAAGTGCCCACAAAGTTATTGATTCATTAACCTGTGCTGTGCCGTCTCCATCCTTTCTCGCACCCCTGGCTGTCCCTTCTCTGCACTCCTCCCTCGTAACAAATAGTGAACTGTGTGGATATTTTAATGATAGTTTGATAAACAACTTTTTTATTTTTAGGACATAAATTCTGCAAACAAAGCACAGAGTTGGTGTGACGTTTTCATTATGATCAGTGTTTCATTGAGTATTTTATGTTTATAAGTTTTCGAGTTAGATTGCAATTCATCGGTCCGCTTTTGAGCCAATTAAACGCACTATTTTTTCATAAGCATGAATGAAACGCTACTCACCGTTGACTGTGTTGACTGTGAAGAAGGTGATTTCAATATGCATTCGCAACAAATATTCCTATATTATATACGGGTGTATGAGAATAACATATTTACGTTAACTGAAACCGTGTGTTGGCAGGAGGCTTCAAAGCTTCTTTGAGCACAATTTCTGTTGCTTTTGATGTGTGGTATTTCCAAAAGATTAATAAAGTCATTTGTCAGGATAGCGCCGTGTGTTTTTTCTGACATCACACAAACTTTCAGGATTTTATCAAGCGGATCTTTGAAATGTATTTCGGTTCTTCGGTTCCTCTGATGTTATAGCATGACAACTTCCATTCTCACCAGATAAGAAACATGAAAGTATTAAATACTATTCACAATAGCTTCTGTTGTTCTAACATATGATCGTATCAGTTAATAATGTTTCTCAATGCAATAATGACGCATGTGGTGTCAAAAGAACAAGTAAACAAAGAGCAAAAGGGATAATATCAATATAATTCATGTATGTTTATGACTCTTGCCTAATAGTTGATTCGATTCTCCACATGGCTACAATGCGTGAAGCTTCATTTCTGTTGAGGGGCGGTGGGGTAGCCTTGTGCTTAAAGCGTTCGCTCATCACACATAAGACCCGGTTCAGATTCCACATGGGTACAATGTGGGAAGCCCATTTCTGATGTCCCCCGCCGTGATATTGCGGAAATATTGCTAAAATCGGCGTAAAAATAAAATTAATCGTTTCTATTGTCCTCCGCCGTGATATTACTGGAATATTTCTTAAAGCGGCATAAAACTGCACTCACTCATACTTGAGGAAAGCCCAGAGTAAAGCAAGACTTATGACGTTTATGACATTTAGTGAAAGCAACTACGGGCAACTAAAGATTAGGACCTTTTACTTTTCCATCTTCAAAACGTAATGTGATGAATCAGGGATATTTTTTCCTCTTTCCGGTGTGTTCCGAATGCATAAGAACCTCCGGAGACAGAGTCTGTATTTCATAACGTTTTGAAATTGCAGTTTGTGTGTTTATTACCGTTTTGGACACATTCTTCAAATGTTGAACTACAGGATATACAATGCTGACAAGACTTGCAATATAATCACAAGAAGTCAGGGATTCGAACTCTAGGTCAGATTTTGGCTGTACAGAGAGATGCAATTGTATTGAATTGGAACTTCTTATATTCATCATTTCAATTCAATAAGTTTTTTACCAAACTCTGTGGGGGATTTTCACCAGACATACTTTGACAAGTACATTCTCCTACTACAGCGACGTTTATTCACAAGTCAATATTTATTAACACCGAATAGCTCGGATCAACTCACACAGCGTTCTCACACTTAGGCGTTACGTTTTTAAATAATGAAGTTTTTAAATACTGTTATCAAAACAAAGTTGTTTAAACATATCATGAGCAAACTTTATTTGAGTTGTGGCTCCACGAGTAACATTTGTTTGCATGAGGTTGAGTTCATCCTCTAATTCGGCGGTAACTGGCACAGCAAATTAAGAATAAACATTGCTAGGTTGGAGTTGCAATCGTTCATCTGGTTGTCAGATAATGTCTCAACTGTTGTCTCTCGTATCAAGATCAACACGTTTAGCTAAAAAAGTAGCAATAAAAATATGGTGAGAAACTGAAGTATACAAAAGATAGCACACACCTGTTTTTTGCTGTTTTATAAAAGAAACTTACTTATTTCATAAAGTGTTTGATTGTGACTTACAAGTTTCAAACATTGCACATGTGTCGCTAAAACAATGCAGAAGTCGTAAACAGTGCAGCGGGATATCATGAAAATCATTATTTTGTTGAATTGCAGGTGCATATTATGCGCCAACAATATACACTACAGTCCATTGAGATTGTTAGTGGTATGTCTCTTCAAGGTCACACTTTGAAATACCAAGAATACCAGCGGAGCGACCACTATAGACCCATGATGTAAACAAGTTTGGTTCAGACTCGATTTGTTTACAAACAACATCATACAGCTGTAATACTGCTGAAACAAATATGTACACATGATATAGCAACAACTGTGTCAACAACTCTGTCAACAACGTGTATACGTACAACCTGCTCTGACAACCACATGTATAGTTATAACATGCTCTGTCAACCACATGCATAGGTGCTAGATGCTATGTCAACAACATGTACAGGTACATCATGATCTGTCAACCACATGTACAGGTATATCATGATCTGTCAACCATATGTACAGGTACAACATGCTCTGTCAACCACAGGTATAGGTACAAAATGCTCTGTCAACCACGTGTATAGGTACAACATGCTCTGTCAACCACATGTATAGGTACAACATGCTCTGTCAACCATATGTATAATCAACATGCTTTGTCAACCACATGCATAGTTACAACATGCTCTGTCAACCACATGCATAGGTACTACATGCTCTGTCAACCACATGCATAGGTGCTACATGCTCTGTCAACCACATGTATAGGTACTACATGCTCTGTCAACCACGTGTATAGGTACAACATGATCTGTCATCCACATGTACAGGTACATCATGATCTGTCAACTACATGTTTGGATACAATGTGCTCCGTCAACCACATGAATAGGTACAACGTGCTCTGTAAACCACATGTATATGTACAACATGCTCTGTAAACCACATGTATAGGCACAACATGCTCTGTCAACCACATGTATAGGTACAACATGCTCTGTCAATCGCTTGTATAGGTACAACGTGCTCTGTAAACCACACGTATAGGCACAACGTGTTGTGACAACCACATGTATGGATACAACTTGCTCTGTCAAGCACATGTATCGATACAATGTGGTCCATCAACCATATGAATAGGTACAACATGCTCTGTCAACCACATGTATAGGTACAGCATGCTCAGTAAACCACATGGATATGTACAACATGTTCTGTCAACCACATGTACAGGTACATCATGATTTGTCAACCACATGTATAGACACAACATGCTCTGTAAACCACATGTATATGTACAAGATGTTCTGTCAACCACATGTATAGATACAACATGCTCTGTAAACCACATGTATATGTACATCATGCTCTGTCAACCATATGTATAGGTAGAACATGCTCTGTCAACCACATGTATAGGCACAACATGCTCTGTTAACCACATGTATAGGTATAACATGATCTGTCAACCACATGCATATGAACAACATGCTCTCTCAACCACATGTATATGTACAACAAGATCTGTCAACCACATGTATAGGTACAACATGCTCTGTAAACCACATGTATAGATACAACATGCTCTGTCAACCACATGTATAGGTACAACATGTTCTGTCAACCACATGTATATGTACAACATGCTCTGTCAACCACATGTATATGTACAACATGCTCTGTCAACCACATGTATAGATACAACATGCTCTGTAAACCACATGTATATGTACAAGATGTTCTGTCAACCACATGTATAGAAACAACATGCTCTGTAAACCACATGTATATGTACATCATGCTCTGTCAACCACATGTATAGGTACAACATGCTCTGTCAACCACATGTATAGGCACAACATGCTCTGTTAACCACATGTATAGGTATAACATGCTCTGTCAACCACATGCATATGTATAACATGTTCTGTCAACCACATGTATAGGTACAACATGCTCTGTAAACCACATGTATATGTACAACATGCTCTGTAAACCACATGTATAGATACAACATGTTCTGTCAACCACATGTATAGGTACAACATGCTCTGTCAACCACATGTATAGATACAACATGCTCTGTCAACCACATGTATAGGTACAACATGTTCTGTCAACCACATGTATAGGTACAACATGCTCTGTCAACCACATGTATATGTACAACATGCTCTGTCAACCACATGTATAGATACAACATGCTCTGTAAACCACATGTATAGGTACAACATGCTATGTAAACCACATGTATATGTACAACATGCTCTGTCAACCACATGCATATGTACAACATGATCTGTCAACCATATGTATAGGTACAACATGTTCTGTCAACCACATGTATAGGTACAACATGCTCTGTCAACCACATGTATAGGTACAACATGCTCTGTCAACCACATGTATAGATACAACATGCTCCGTCAGCCACATGAATAGGTACAAAGTGCTCTGTAAACCACATGTATAGGTACAACGTGTTCTGTCAACCACATGTATAGGTACATCATGATCTGTCAACTACATGTTTGGATACAATGTGCTCCGTCAACCATATGAATAGGTACAAATTGCTCTGTAAACCACATGTATATGTACAACATGCTCTGTCAACCACATGTATAGGTACAACATGTTCTGTGAACAGCATGTATAGGTACAACATGCTCTGTCAACCACATGTATAGGTACAACATGCTCGAGCTCTGTCAACAACATGTATGTATACAATGTGCTCCGTCAACCATATGAATAGGTACAAAGTGCTCTGTAGACCACATGTAGATTGTAATAGAATCAAATTAATGAAGTGAAAGTATTAAAATCATCATGTAACCTTTGTCAATCAAAAGTGTCACCTATTTTCGTTATATCACGATCTATCTGCAAATGTCCATCTATATTTTTAACATTAAAGTAAATAATAACCAAACAACATCATAGACGGTTACCTGGTTCTGAAGTTCACAGATCTGAGTCATCTTTAAGGGGGCATATTCACTGTTGATAGCTTTATCAAGCACTGAACGTTCGCGGTAGCAGCACTTGTCAGACATGACCTAATTACCACTGTGTGTCACTACGCTATTTACATCGATGAAGGATTCTACTACTGAGGTCATTGTGTACTGTTATTGTACAGACTTATGTATTTCATGTCTCCAAATGATGTATTTATTCACTGTCTTGAATCATTGTGTATTTTGAGTGATAACACCGATGTTTGTCAGGGACTATTTCTTGTGGACACTCCTGCTTCGTGGCTATTTATAGAAAGTAAGTGTGACTTTTGACCCAGATAAACAATGACTTTTTACACTTGTTAATGACGATTTTCTGATAACTTTCTTGCTCAGAAATGTTTTAAAGTGTATTCCATGATGTATACTAATGAAATTACACTTGACTGAACTGAAAAACGAATTTGAGCTGTTTGACATTTCTCAGGTTACGGTGACCTGTCAACATGATTTACATTAGTTTGAGTGACTAATTATAAACTGGATGTCTGTTTTTATATCCAAGCCACATATTCATTATCTGGTATTTTCCTGCATTCTATGATGGAAATGCATTGTTTTAAGACATAGAGGACAATGTATAACCACCTGTATTTCCTACATTTGTACCTGCAATATGACAGTCGTTTCGTGTTTTGACATTTGTTGCCGACAATCATTCTAGGCACTAATTGACAGCCTGCTGTCCGTTTTCTCTGTTTGCATTAACCAAATATTTTAGCAATCTTGTTAGTGTCCGATTTGGTAAAGGACACATAGGACAACATCAATTCCTGCATACAGGGCATATTGATGCTACACTGGGCCAAAGTTGTTAATGGTCTTAGCATACATTTGACGTCCGACAAAATGTCGTCCCGTCGCTTGGCCTGAATATAATCGTTGTCCTTATTCTTGTTATATCACATGTTAGCACAAATCTCACTTTTCCATCATGCTCGATCTTTTCGGACACTTTATATCACATAAGGACAATACCATATGATAAAGGAAACCGATGCTTTTGTAAATTTCTCTTGTCATAGAGCCGACCACCAACCAAGATGACGGCCACTGACGCTACGTTGACGGAAAGATATTGTCCGTTTTATTATAACAAATTGTCTCCTGATTATTTCTACTGTGTCCTAATTGTATTCGGACAAGAAGGACAACATAAGGACAATTAGTAATCACTTACTTGTGTCAGAAATGACACTGCCTATGCAGTGTTTCTTGTATGCAAGCCATTACACCTGTGTTCTGATTGGTTGAGAAAGGTCACATGACCTCCTGATGATACCTATAAATACGATCACTGGTCAAGGCCACGCATCCCAAGGAGGGATAGGTCTGCCGACATGCCAACCGGCGAAGGCGACCTCAAAAGCATCAAACACAACAACAAGGCATTCGGCATCCGATTCGGATTCGATTCATTCGATTCACTCGGGTCACTCGATTTAGATGCAATAAGGGGCGGTGGGGTAGCCTAGTGGTTAGAGCGTTGGCTCGTCACACCGAAGACCCGGGTTCGAATCCCCACATGGGTACAATATGTGAAGCCCATTTCTGGTGTCCCCCGCCGTGATGTTGCTGGAATATTGCTAAAAGCGGCGTAAAACCAAACTCAGTCAGTCAGTACAATAAGACATTCAGTCTGATTAAAGGCTCCTGCTCATATTTTTACCTGGCACCTGTACTGACTTAGATTTATCATCATAACTGCTCCTAGGTATATATTTTAAGTCAAATTACAATCAATGTGATAACTATATTACATACTCAGTATCATTTCTGCAAGATATTCGAGTTGAAATAAAAAATAACTATTTCCTTGGAGACTGAGCCTTGTCATTATATATACATAATATTCGAGACACCGGCATTCGACTCATCGGGATTTGACTGTATATATATATATATATAGGCCGACTGTCCATTGTTGTATAGTCAATCGACGTGCAGGAACACGTTGTATAGTCAATGACGTGCAGTAACACGTTATGTAGTCAATGGACGTGCAGTAACAGGTTGTTGTATAGACAATGGACGTGCAGTAACACGTTATGTAGTCAATGGACGTGCAGTAACAGGTTGTTGTATAGACAATGGACGTGCAGTAACACGTTATGTAGTCAATGGACATGCAGTAACAGGTTGTTGTATAGACAATGGAGGTTTTATCGTGTCCTGACATGCGCCATTATGTGACACGTCGTTATATATTCTCCAAGGCAATTATTCTTTATTAGTTCGCAAAACAAATATGTCTGGATCGGGAGACTTGTCTATACGTGTAGGAAGATTATAATGCGGGTCAGCATGACCCAAGTTCAACTGTTCATTCTATCAGTCACTAGTTTGTCTGACCCAGAGTCGATTATTGACTTGCCATCGTGGCATAGCTTGAATGCCATGTGCACCTTCCGCTCATTTAGTTTGATATTTTATTGTACAGTCATCATCTCGTGATAATATTGTGAGGTCTCAGATAACTGTGCCCACTCATGAAACACAAACCTCGTTAATTTGTGTGATTTTCCTTCGAAATAATCTTTCAGACCGTTATCACGAGATCAGTACGTTGCAATCTTAATGTTGGCGAAACAAAGTTTGTGTAAACATTGTAGAAATTAAGAATAAACGTAATACAATATTCCCATTTTCCAGAAGGAACGGTCGGCGGGATGTCTGGGATATCAGGAATGGTCGGTGGGATGTCTGGAATATCCGGAATGGTAGGCGGGATGTCTGGAATATCAGGAATGGGTGGCAAGATGTCTGGAATGTGACGAATGGGTGGCAAGATGTCTGGAATATCCGGAATGGGTGGCAAGATGTCTGGAATATCAGGAATGGGTGGCAAGATGTCTGGAATATGAGGAATGGGTGGCAAGATGTCTGGAATATCCGGAATGGGTGGCAAGATGTCTGGGATATCAGGAATGGGTGACAAGATGTCTGGGATATCAGGAATGGCAGAAGGGGTGTCAGACGTGACTGAAATCGTAGGCGGAATGTCCGATTTATGGAGATTGGTGGATGGAATGTCCAATATGTCTGGATCGGGATGCGGAATGTCCAATTTGTACGGATGGGGAGACGGATTGTCCGATTTGTACGGATGGGGAGACGGAACAACCGATATGTCCGGATCGGGAGAAGAAATGTCCGATTTGTCCGGATCGGAAGACGGAACATCTGATAAATCAGGAACAGGAGAAGAATTGTCCGATTCGTCTGGATCGGGAGATGGAATGTCGAGTATGTCCGGATCAGGAGACAGAATGTCCGAAATGTCTGGATCAGAAAATGAAACGTCTGACGGGTTGTCCGAAGTGAGTGTGATATTCAACAGATTATTTCGCGCTCTGCCGAGTCCGGCTGAGTATGATACCGATGAGGAAGAAACATATGATACGTCTGGATCAGGAGAAGAAATGTATTATACGTATGGATCGGGAGAAGAAACGTATTATACGTATGGATCGGGAGAAGAAATGTATATAAGTCTGGAGAAATGATTGATTGGACGGCAGAATTCAGAGGACTCCTTGGCAGTAACTTCAGCGAACTGTCAGAGCGAATTTGAATGGCTGTTCAAAGGGGAATTCGTATTATCCAGATTATTGGCCGCTCTGATAGATCCGACTGAGGATGATGAAACCGATGGAGAAGAAACGGACGACACGTCTGGATCGGGAGAGGAAACGATCGACTGGACGCCAAAACTCAGAGAATTCCTTGGCATTAACTCCACCGAAGCATCAAACGGAACGAATATGGATGACGGGTTGTCCGAAGTGAATCTGATATTAAACAGAATATATGGCGCTCTGTAAAGTCTGGATGAGTATGATGAAACCGACTTAAAAGAGTACATGTAACTTCCAATGCTATGGTAATGGTAATTTTACAACATTTGATTTAATGAAATGAGTGAGTGAGTGAGTACTCGAGGCGCCTGGGGCAACAGGGCCATATGTCCCAATATATACTCGGCGTCATTTATGAAGGGTCAAGCTATTGGTAACTCTATTTCTTAAAAGATGCAAAATCTTCATTTTTGTTTGAAATATTTACAACTGAATGTTTTACAAACTTTGTTGACACTACGGAAAAACACATCAGGCCATTGAAATGTCATAATTACGTTCTTTAATGCCTGATACATTTTGTTACAAATGGCACATTTTTTATTCATATTGTCAATAAGGAAATACACCTGCCACTTAATGTCAACGATTTGCTGTTGCAAGTCGCTCTATCAATGGAAAGTGGAGGACAATACACATGCATTCATGCTTTTTCACTTTTGTTCACTGTTCAGGAACCTATTTGAAATCGCAGCTTAAAATGAGACTTTTTAGACACTTGCTGAAAGGGTTCAGGCCTTTTCGAATCTGGTGAAGCTCGGCAGATTGCTGTCGGCAGAGTTGCTATTGGTCGTGGCAGAATTCAAGCCAATGGGTCTGGGGAATATGCTCGTCGACCAGGACTCCCCAGAGTCACAACAGTCCGAGATGATAGGCACATGATTAATACTGCGTTACGTAACAGATTCCTTAACGCAGCAGATCATTTCAAATTTAGCAATGTAAGGATATCCAGGAGCACTGTTCGTTGACGTTTAAGCCGGACTCCGCTGTAGGCGACCTGCAGTTCGTCGACCACTAACACCACGTAACATTCAGGCGCGTTTGAGATGGAGTTAGGCGTTATGGCCGCTGGAATCAACGTCATTGGTTTCGTGTGGTCAGCAGAGGATTTATCATCACAGTGGAGAGCGAATCACAGATGCAACTGTGGCCGCGCATAACCGATTTGGCGTGGGGTCGGAATGGTTTGGTCAGTGATAACTCCTACTGGACGTACTCGACTGTACGTGGTCGACGGTAATCTTACCGGACAGCGTTATCGGGACGAGATTCTGGCTCCTGTAGCAGTACCATTCTTGTAAGCTATGTATGGCTTTTAT